TCCCCCCCGGCCACCCCGCCCCGCGGCCGCTTCTCCTCCTCCTCCTCCTCCTCCTCCTCCTCCTCCTCCTCCTCCTCCTCCCGTGGTGGTTTCCCCGGTGGCTGCAGATCCGGTTCTGGTCTCAGTCCTGGTTCTGGTTTTGAGGGGAGCAGCGGCTCCGGTGCCAGAGCCTTGGGCTGACTGGCTGGTTTGGTGGAAACCTCGAGCAGGGCTGTTGATTCTGGGCGAGGTCCGTCTGGTTCTTTGGGCTCCTGTTCTCCTCCTGCTCCTGGTGCACCGGGACCATGAGGGGACGGAGGGTTCTCTGGGTGAGGCGTTCCTGACGCTGGGGTGTCAGTGGGCGTCACGGCATCTTCTCTGTAAGATCGACAAGAGAAGAAGAAGAAGAAGAAGAAGAAAAAAAAACAGATTGTTAGCAGAGTCTCCTCCTCTGAGAGCCACCACAATCAGACCTCTGACCCCTGACCTCTGACCCCTGAATATCCTTCTGTACTAAGTCCATCCATCTTCCTCCTTCAGTACCTCAATGCGATATTAAAACCATCTCTCTGTACTGAACCTGATGTAACCTGAACCCATCTGACCCTCTGACTGCACATCTACTATTGTCTTCATTTATGACCTGCACCACAGTTGTCTAATGAACCACGAAATGAATGAAATCAGTTTGATTAATCAGCACTGGCTCTTTAAACAGTGAAGAACTTCTACTTCACTGTTTTTTCTTCTACTGTGGAACTCACCGATCTCTGATGGAGTTGGGTTTGTCGACTGACAGGAGGAGGTGGGGAGAAGGGAGTGGGGGGTCAGCAGGAGGTGACTGTGTGATGCTGAGAGAAGCTGGTGAAGGGGGAGATGAAGAAACCACTGTTTTCTTCTTCTGCTTGTCGTCATCTGACCTGTTGACCTCCTGAGTGCAGGCAGGACCTCCTTCCAGGGCCTCCTCCTGCCTCCTCTTCTCCTCTCTCACTCTTTTTGCCTCCTCTTCCTTCCTGACTCTTTCTTCCTGCTTCTTCTTCTCTTGCAGTTTTCTGTTTTCTTCTTCTTCCTCCTCCTTCCTCCTCCTCTCTATCTCCTTATTTTTCTCTCTCTCTCTCCTTTCTTCCTCAACCTCTAGCCTCCTTCTTTCTTCCTCCCCCTGTAGCCTCCTTTTTTCTTCCTCCACCTGCAGCCTCCTTTTTTCTTCCTCTTTTTTCTTCATCTCCCTTTCCTCCTTCTCTCTCTGCTCTTCCATCCTCTTCCTCTCTTCCTCCACCTGTAGCCTCCTCTTTTCTTCCTCCACCTGTTTCCTCCTTTTTTCTCCCTCCACCTGTAGCCTCCTCTTTTCTTCCTCCACCTGTTTCCTCCTTTTTTCTTCCTCTTTTTTCTTCATCTCCCTTTCCTCCTTCTCTCTCTGCTCTTCCATCCTCTTCCTCTCTTCCTCCACCTGTAGCCTCCTTTTTTCTTCCTCCACCTGTTTCCTCCTTTTTTCTCCCTCCACCTGTAGCCTCCTCTTTTCTTCCTCCCCCTGTTTCCTCCTTTTTTCTTCCTCCATTTTCTTCATCTCCCTTTCCTCCTTCTCTCGCTGCTCTTCCATCCTCTTCCTCTCTTCCTCCACCTGTAGCCTCCTCTTTTCTTCCTCCCCCTGTAGCCTCCTCCTTTCCTCCTCCACCTGTAGCCTCCTTTCTTCTTCCTCCCCCTGTAGCCTCCTTTTTTCTCCCTCCACCTGTAGCCTCCTTTTTTCTCCCTCCCCCGGTAGCCTCCTTTTTTCTCCCTCCACCTGTAGCCTCCTTTTTTCTCCCTCCCCCGGTAGCCTCCTTTTTTCTCCCTCCCCCGGTAGCCTCCTTTTTTCTCCCTCCATTTTCTTCATCTCCCTTTCCTCCTTCTCTCTCTGCTCTTCCATCCTCTTCCTCTCTTCCTCCACCTGTAGCCTCCTTTTTTCTTCCTCCCCCTGTAGCCTCCTTTCTTCTTCCTCCCCCTGTAGCCTCCTTTTTTCCTCCTCCACCTGTAGCCTCCTTTCTTCTTCCTCCACCTGTAGCCTCCTCTTTTCTTCCTCCACCTGTTTCCTCCTTTTTTCTCCCTCCACCTGTAGCCTCCTTTTTTCCTCCTCCACCTGTAGCCTCCTCTTTTCTTCCTCCACCTGTTTCATCTCCCTTTCCTCCTTCTCTCGCTGCTCTTCCATCCTCCTCCTTTCTTCCTCCACCTGTAGTCTCCTTCTTTCTTCCTCCACCTGTAGCCTCCTTTCTTCTTCCTCCACCTGTAGCCTCCTCCTTTCTTCCTCCCTCTTCCTTCTCAGCTCAAGTGCTCTTCTTTCCTCCTCCTCCTCCTTCATCTTCCTCATGAACCTCTCCCTCTCGAGATGCCTCTCCTCCTCTCGCTGAAGTTTCACCTTCTCCTCCTCTAGGAGCCTCTGTTCCTTCCTTCCTTCGCTCTTCCTTCTCTCCTCCTCTGCCTCCTGCTTTTTCCTCTCCTCCGCTTCCCTCAGCTTATCCTGCTTCTCTCTCCTCTCCATCAACAGTCTCTGCTCCTCAAGTTTTCTCCTCCCCCTCTCCTGTTTGGCCTCCTCTTCCTCTTTGAGGAACCTTCTCTTCTCCTCCTCTAACAATCTCTTCTTTTCTTCCTCGTGCCTCTTCCTCTCCTCCTGCTTCAGGAGCGCAGCCTTTTGCTCTTCCTCCTCCCTCTTCCTCTCCTCCTCTAGTCTTTTCTGCATGTCTTTTCCCCTCTGCACCTCCTCCTTCATCCGTGCTCCCTCTAACTGCTCCGACCGAGATGACTTTTCTCTGGTTTTCTGTTCGAGACTGTAGAACAGATAAACAGGAGAGAGTTGGATTTTAAAGACATGAATATAATGT